CAACTTTAAGGGATGCTGAGGACATGCAGCTTGTATCACAATCCTAGAATTCAGCTCCATGTGTTTTTCTTCGGTAATTGCACTTACTCATCTTTGCATCACAAACCTACTTGTTACTATAATGCTGTGAGCAATTGCTAGCACTCTCTAATCATATCTTTGCAGCAGAAAGCAAGTTTCTATCACTTTAGAATCTCCTGGCTAACTCCACTGGAATTATCCTCTCAAAATGCTATAACTAACAGTTATTTTTGTCACAGAACTGCAAGACGTACAATTGCATTGAAATCCCTTGCATGTATTCAGATGAAGCAAAGCAGTTTCAGCCTTACACTAGCCAAACATCAGGCAAGCTCAAAACTTAAAACCTTAGGTTTGTCCCAAGTGGGCCACAAATACTGTTGTAAATTAGGTTAAACAACTAGATCATTTGAGCAACTATATCCTAAGCTCAAAAACTAAGCATTTGTGGAGCAGGCAAGTTTGGCAAATGAAGGTATTATGATGATTTTGACCATTATTGCTAATAAGATGAATCTCCAGCAAAATCAGATGCAAAAGTTGTGCGAAAAGGGTCGCTTCCTCTGAAGATGAAAGTCACTATCTTCAGAAAGCTGCTCATCCCTTGTGTTAAGAGGAAGGGCATAGGGAAGATCAGACAAAGAAACGTCATTCATATTTGCACTGAAAAAACTTTAAAAAATAGCGCAAAGATAAGTGACTTTTTATCAATAAGCAGTTTGTTGGTTTTTATTCAAGCTGTTGAAACTATTAAAACATTTTGTCAGACTTGTTTGAAATTCTAGAAACATCAATGTATGTTAAAACATTCAGCATGTATGTGGATAAAGTTAAGAGTAAACTTCTTTGTTTTCTGAACTTTTAACAGATCTTGTGGAAGATGGAAAGGAGCCAAAATCGTAAGAAAGGCCAAAGTGGAAACTAAAGAAGTGGGGTTTGGGCAGGGAGCAGGTTGTTTTGAACTTTGGGCTGGGGAGTGGTAGTATTGTTTTGGTTTGGGGTTGTTTGTTTTACTTAACTGGCAGAAGTACTATTCTAGCTCTTGGACATTCTTTTTATACTGTTGGACAAGCAAAGGAAAAGGTCATAAAGAGGTCTCAGAAAGCTTTCTCAGCCACTGGTTATTTCCTTCAACATTACAGACACAGAAATAACCCATGAGCACACATTTAACATATACTGTTAAGAAAACAGCAATGACAGATAATTCACCATAAACGGGAAGTGACATGGTTACATAGTACAGTGAATTTGATGATTTTCTTCTTAAAAAAATGATCAGATTTGTGTCATTTTCCCTCCCATATTTTTAGAAAAAAAGACTAATTTTAAAAAGTTGAGTGTGTTAAAAAAAAACATATTTGGAATTCTATACTTTATACACAGGGGAAATACCTCACTGCACCTTCATCAGGTGCATTTTGTAGAGAAAAATTCGTTACTAACCCTTACTTGATTGAAATATACTGAAATCACAATACCTTTAATACTCCTCAGAGTTTTTAAACTAAATTAAAGATGAAATATAAAAAATAAAAAACATTTTCTGTAGTGGTCTACAACGTAACTCTCTCAGTACTGAAAATGTTTTGAACTATTTTAGTCACAGTGTGCTTTAAATGGACAGTTTACTTCAAGAAAAGGATGAATCTAGACAGTGTTTAAATATAAAGTTAAACCATTAATCTAAAATTACTTAAAATGTAACAATAATTCTTACGAAAGCTTGTAAGGAATTGTTTGTTAAAATAAAGTTGAACAATTCCAAGTTAAGCTAGTAAGTCTACACTTAATGATCCTCTATTTGCATGTTTTTTGGATTCAAAACATCATTTGGGTTATATTAGCAAACAGGTCTCTTTGAATACTAAAAGAGAAAAAAGTAAAAGTGATTAATTAAAAAGTTTTCTACCAAACATCTGTCAAAAATACACTCTTTTTCAGTGAAGACCACCAAGACATTTTCCAAGCAAAGTGACACAGATTATTTTTGGGGGGGGGGGAAATCTATAAAGGAAGCAAATTAATAGAAACTGTCACACTGAGACAGCAGCCATAAGAAACTTTACAGAAAGAGGCCAAGCACTTTTTTTTTAAACTGTTCAGTTTCTACTGCAGGTCTGGGGCCTTTACTAGTTGTTGCATAAGACCAAAGTCTGTCTTGTTGGGTATTTGTGTTCTTCACAGCAGTGTCTTTAGTTTCCAAGTCAGTGCACGTTTTTCCAATGTTAAGTGTACGTTAAAATAAAACATTTATTGTGAAATGGAGGCATAGAATCTTAGAAATGACATACAGCCCTAAACATAAGTCTAGAAAAGATTACAAGACTGTACTTCAAACATTAATACATCCACCAGAGACACATCAAGGAAAACTGTTCAAGACTGCTTGAAGTAATGCTTGCATTCACTTGAAGCAACTATCATACAGTCTCCAAATTTACCAGACACTGAAAAAGGACCCTTGTCTGATGTGAGGAGGTTGGTTGGCAGCTGTCAAAGTATAATTCTGGATCTGTCAAACACTTGCCGTGCAATCCAGGTAAATGTGAACAGAACACAAAGGTTTGAAAGCAAGTAGATGCTTGTCAACTTACCAACAACAGATCATACATATGGGGTGCAGTATCTTCAGCAATTTTATGTCAGTTTTAGCTATGGGGAAATAAAGTTAAAAGATGCTGATTTCTAACTAACTCCTTACCTGCAGCCACACATGGTGCATGGTCTCTTATAAGCATGAGGGTGAAATTTTCAGACTTTTTTCTTTAGCTATATTACTTTTAAACTATTTTTAAAATACCCACAGAACTATACTCTTTATTTAAACACCTGGACAAATCTAGCTCCAGCACATAGTACTATAAAATAAAATGGTGTATGAGGAAACTTTTAATCTGAGCTAAAGAAATCTTCCCAGTGTTTAAGCAAGACTTTAATTCTACTTACTTGTAATCAGAAGATACACAAGGTATGGCTATTCCTGACCTGCCAAAACCTGCCTATTCTCATTTTCTTCATCCTCTATTAGAAGATGGCACCATGGTGTTTTTTTTTCAAGGAAAGCAGGTAAGGTGCAAGTCCTGTTTTATGACTGAAGGCTATTACTAGGTATGCAGATTACAAGATGACTGATCATCCACCAATCCAGTTCATGCTGAAGTCAACCACTTGGCATCTGAGAATGAAGCAACCGAGGAAGCAGAAAAGTTAACATGCAATAATTACATTCCCAAAGCTTTTAGATTACTCAATGAATGAGGCTGGTCTGTCTAAAGTGTAAACACTGAGGCACAGAATTTTACAATGTGCCTCTAAACTAATGGTTCATGGTTTTGCCTATTGGATTTCCTCTAGTTTTCAGTGACAGTCTTTAAAAAATAAGTGTCAGACTCATTCACTGGTTAAAGTCTCCATCCAAACAACTGCATTTGCTTGAAATCCTTAATACCACTGGGTCAGAATGTTTGAAACACTTTTAACACAAACCAACATCTCACTTCTTCTGTCATACAGTTTTTTTAACATCTTTGGCATTTACGTATGGGCAAAACCACAAAACCAAAACCTGCTCCTCTCAAGGTGAGCACTTGAACCTATATGCACCAATTTTAGTCAGAAAATAGAACTTTGTATGAGGACTCAACGACATTAAGTCAAGGAGCACATTAGCTACATGTAGCTTTTACACACCAGTCAAGTTATAGAAATTGACCTTTATTTAGTAATCAGTTTCTTTAACTTTTTTTTTTTTCTTTTGATACAAAGTGACATTTTCATTTAGTACAGAAAATCCATGTCAGAACAGTACCTGTCTGTTTCAGTTGTACCACTGGAGTCTACTCTGACCTCAAACTTTGAAAAACACAAACAAAAATGATATAAAAAAACCAACTGCTGTTCCTCACCATGAGAAGTACTTTGACTAGTAATTCATCCATAGCATTTCCTATTTTTAGATTTATATATATACAGTATTATAATAGTATAACATAATACTATATATATATATTTAAATGCATTATAGTTCAAAATACTCTCACTATATAGTATATAACTATATAAATACTACATAAAGAATTTTGAACTGTAAAATAGCATCTGTAAAACAGAATTTAAATTTAGGACCAGATCTTTCTTTGAAGAACTGTGCAACAAGAATCCCTTTTTTTAATTAAAAAAGCTGCAAACAGAAGCAAAACTACAGCCTGTAGTGTAAAACTGGAAGCCCTACCTAATGAAATGTTAGGAACAGTGATTGAGAAGCAGTTCTACTCAAATGACATTTTAAAAACGAGTAAAATACAGTACCCAAGAAACATGGCACAAGGGACAGGAGAGACAGGTACAAAATCTGTGTTAGGAACACAGTCAGAAGTGCAAAAAAACCAAAAATGGAACCGATACAATGGATTTTGGTAAAACAGGTAAATAAGTATTGCAACCAAAACTAAAAGATCACTTATGTGAAAACAGTAACAATATAGTACCTTTCTAAAGGCTTTTAATCAAAGCCCTAAATCTGTGGTTGCTCTTAAATAAAAACAACCTATGTGAATGCTACACACACAAAGTACAAAGCGTAAGAATTACTCTACAAAATTGCACCAACATGAGCTTTCCATATATACAGTATCTAAAAGTGACAGAACACAGCATGCTAGGCCTAGCTTATGACTCTTCCTCACCAGTACTTAACCCAAGCCCAACAACCAAAAATTATTATTTAAGCTTGGATTGTTCCGATATATTATGATGTTTAAATATTAGATTCATGCATAAAACAAGAAACAATATCTTTGACAGACAAGCATTGACGGGATACAAACAGTGGTCTGCCCTGTAGAGGAGTGTACTTCCTTTTGAGCTTACTCCCAAGACGTACCGATTAAATTCCACGTTATCACCTGGTTGTCAAGTGAACAATGTGCTTAGAAATGGCTGAAACTGCAACTTAAGAGTTCACATTGTGCATAAATCATTTGCTCATATTCGGAAATTTCACTCCATTTTGGAGAGTTACCTCTTAAGTGAAAGGACACAGAGCTAAAAAAGGAAAACAAAATAGACATTCAAGTAAACAGCAACAACCAAATACTTTGAAAAGGTTTTTGTAAACTTGTCATTCTACAGGGTTTTGCAGCATTGTTAAATTCATTTCTCATGGATAAGTACACACAGGTTGCAACCCCTCGTGACAACCTGTCACGTGTACACGTACGACGTAAGAGACAAGCTTGGTGAAGTGATCTACCCCTTCCCACATGCCTCACTGGCTCCTTGTGTGTTCAGTGTTATCCTTCCCCTTCATGAATCAGAAATCACTTATGGATATCTTTACAGACAGGGATGCACAGAGTCCATTGGACAGAAAGTTAGTTGGTTATTTACATCTGCAAAGTAGTTTTACAGTGAAATAAATCTACAGGGGGCCGGCTGGGATCCACAGGACTTTGTTTTGTTCTTGATCGACAGTTGTCATAATCTGAGTGCAAATGCTTGAAAGGGCTCCTCCGTGGACAATGCCTGGAGAAGAAGAAACCCCCCCGACAAATGAGATTGGAACTAACAGTTATGACTAATTACAAAGAGCAGTCTTTGGCATTTTTCTGCAAAGCATTTATCAACAGATCAGAATTAATCTACCCAATTCAGGATCTGCCAAGTGCATGACTCTACTAAAATGAGAAAAAGAATAAACAGAGCAAAGAGGTCAAGCATACAATATACAGTTTCTTCTAGCTCTTAGAACAGCCCAGGGAAGTCACAGAACTGATGGCTATAATCAACTAAGACAACTGTTTTCTTAGAGGCTGTCATGTACTATTTTCAGAGGCATCAGGTGGCAAAGTTTAAGTCTAAAGATGGTCAGAACCTGCTATAATAAACCGTCTCTGTTCCACATGTGGTGTTAAGAGTGTTATATTTATGGGGTAATATACATAGAGACTATAGCTGTAGCAACTAGACGCTATTTACAAATATTAGCAGTACATTATGAGGCAGCTCACAGATCACTGAACTAAATAAAACAGCAGTGGTTGCTACTATAATTCTTATTGTCAAACACATTTCAGGATTCAAGGAACAAAAGGGCAACAGCAAGTAACTCCTTGAAAATCAATTCAAAAGATAAATGAGCACCTTGCATTCTACTCTTGCTAAACAAAACAGTCATAAAAAGTAAAATGTCAACACTGACACGGGAGAGGAGAATGTATTAGCTTTAAGACCTAAAAAGTGAGGAACTTCATGACTTGAGAAATATGTCAGCAAAGCCTCTGGCCTCAGCTGCTGCTAATGCTGGATAAATATGGAAAGTCTTACAAGACTTAAGGTATAATTTCCATTTTTGAAATGAGAATTTGATCTCATGTAAAACATTACTTGACTGAGCAGCATATACTACAATTAACGTCAGGCAAGTCTGGGTACAGAAAACAATAAGATCTATGAAAGGTAACAGCAGTGAGGAAGTGATTCAGATTACACACTGTGCTCACAATTTGGTACAGGTAACAAAGCCAACTTGACGAAGTCATTAGTAAAAAAAAATGTAGTATATTAAGTAGTCACAGATCTCAGGTCTGAGACAGTGTGTCATGTGGCTTCACAAGGAAACTACCATGTTCAAAATTTCTATTTACAGGCTTACTTCATGCACAACACTATAATTTCAACAAGCTTAACTGTCAATGCAGTTTGAACACCAGCCCTTGCTGACTATTAGCCTCTGGAAATATCGATGACAGCTGGAGTTTGGCATTGAGAGAGGGAGCCCCTTCTCACATTATATGTGAGAAGATACACACAGGACTCTTAGACTCTTCATTATCAAGGTGAAATTAAAATGCAACAAATAACTTAACAAGAATCAGAAGATAACGGGGCAATACAACTTGGCTGTGTGTGTGTGTCAAGTTGGGTGAAGGTTTAGTATGTACCACGGAAATGAACACATGTATGGCTATTACATAGCAGGTATCTGCTTTTCTTGAGAGTGTTCAGCTTCTCTCAGGATGCACTGAGACAGCAGTACTCTAAATACATACCCTCCCTCTCCTGCACTTGGCAGGTATGCCTCAAAATTTTTCTGTAAGAAGCCCATTATTTGGGGGATGAAAAGCTGGGGTTTGGCTGGTTTAGTAGTGCTGTTTTGGTTTATGTTTTTATTTTTAATTTTTGTTGTCATTCACATTAAAATGGTCAAAATTTTATCCCCTCTCTTCTGAATGTATGTGGAAATATACTCTGAAAGAAGCAGAGACAGTCTTCCAACAAAGTTTTCTTTTTCTGGTACACACAAAGTTTCATATGATATATTTTATTATGTCAAAAAGGTGTCTGAAGTGGTATTTCATTATTCAAAATTAGAATGCATGTTCAAGACACCTCTGACAAATTTTTTTTCCTTTCTTGAAAGATTTAAAGTATGTCTCATAAATTATTCATTGATTTACACTACAGAGTTTTTTTCTGTTGTTGTTTTGTTTTATTTTTACAAGCATAAAAAAATTACATTGCTTACATGGTATAAAACCGACAACAAGATGTCAAACTGGCTTGACCACACTTCCAGTATTACTGGCTTGTAATAAACCATTTTAATAAAATTACTAGTTCATAAGATTCATAACAAGCTAAAACAAAAATCATGTAAAAGCGTAAGTTTTCCAAAAGGGAAGGCAGAATGAAGTAAAAAACCACAAAAATGGAGGGGGAGGAGGAAGGGTGGCTCTTGGCAGGAACACGGAATCCTGAATTACAGTGTAAATGGTTTACATTGCCACTGTGTTCCTAGTGAAATGTTTATTAAATACTAACCTGTAAAGTACTTGCTATACTCTTGTTCTATTTTTTGAGCTGTCTCAAACTGTTCTTTGGAATGTTTTTGTGTAACTTTGTCCCTCAGGAAGATTGGGTCTTTTTGCTCTCTGAAAAAAAGAAAAAAGAAAAAAGAAAAAAGAAAAAAAGGAAAACCTTTATAAGAGTATTTTTCAATTTTTTTTTAAAATGGACTTGAAATTATTACCTTCAGTTGGGTGAAACACTAATTAATTTGCAACCATAATCCTATGCATAGAGTGCCATCTACTGTGTTTCAGCAGTATCAGCATAGTCTTCGGGATCATTTCAGTGCTAACAAATGTATTTGCTATCAGACCAAGACAGTATTCCTCTAAAGTCTCAGAGAATGGGAGGGGGTTGAGGGAGGAAGAAAGAATATAATCTTTCCCATTTACGTGAACTGGATTATTACTTCATATAAACTCCACTACTCTCTACATAAATCTGAGCTCAAGTACTGCTCTTTTAAAGGCCTTAAGTATCAAGCATTGAGCAAAGAGATAATTTTATTTCTATGTCATATATATGACAGATTTTTGAGATAATTGTCTTTCTATTATACAAGCAGTTGGAAATGAAATAATAAAAAATACAGAAAAATACAAATAGTTAACAATAATAATCATAATTCCAATCAAAACTTGTAACACTCTCCTCCAAATATGACTTAGGGTTAGGTACTGAAACAATTTTAATATAGTTTCTTATAGCAGCGAGAAGAGAAGCACAACTTTATTTTATAAATAATAATTTAAAAAATCACTACTAAACTAACCTATCACTGTTGTGTAGCATTTAATAAAAAGTCAATAGAACCTGTGTTATATCAAAAAGACCGTTCAGCAAAACCTTTGGTGCTCATAACAGGTAGACACCATGTGCTACTACTACTGCATGTGATTCTGGTGACTGCTAGAAATCCTTGCTTGTCTAGTTTAATTGCTGACACTAAAAAAAGGAAATAGCTGTAATGGTCACCATTCCTTTCCCAAAGGGGCTCCATTGATCATTCAACAGCATGATATTACAATGGTAATATACCACAGTGCTTTTATCACTACTTCAAAGTAGTGATACTTAATCTTCTTTATCAAATAGATTTACCAAATTTATCTACAGATCAAGAATGTATGTGTTCAGCTTTCAAAATGAATAAAGCACAAGTGTAAGATCTCTAAAAAAAAGTTTCTTAATACTTTAGTTGGGAGGTTATATCACTTCTTGCCAAATCAATCTAGCAAAATGCATGAAGGTCTTACTCAAACATTAGGGGTAGGACTGGGGTAACTCTTCTTCCTGGCTATAATCGAACAGGAAATTCCCAATTACTGAAAGAGTATGGCCCAAGTAAACCACAGTATATTACTACACTCCATGGCAAAAGAGGACTGCCCTTGATGTTTTCGCTGGAAAACAAAGGTGAGAAAGCTGAGGTTAGGAATCAGTTGGCACTACATCCATATGCTTGGCCCTACTGAGAAGATGAAGAATAGCTCTTTGTCACAGTCACAACTTAATCCTCAATGGATCTCATCCACATCTGTTTGAACTTGCAGTTTAATACAAAGGTGCACAGAAAAGACCCCAGTGCCTTTGAGAGTACATACAGTTTAGTCTACGTTATTCTATTTTTTTGAAAGATTCACTTAATTGTCATGCAACTAAAATGAAGTTAAGACCATTTACCTCACAGCAGTTTTTATGAGGATTAATTTCCACATTTTCAAGAGATTTAAGACGACTAGGATGAAAGAAACAGTAAAGATAACAAACTTATTTTAAGCTAAAACATCCCTGAAATAGACCTCTCACAGACTTACTTGATTTGTTTAGCATTTTTGTAGCGAATAAAAATTACAATAGGGTAGATATGAACACTGTGGAGCCGTTCGATGGCATGAGGAGCGATGTCAAGCAGACAATGACAATCCTAAGATCAAATGTAAATGCAAAACACTCATTCAGTTAGAGAACAAGCACGCATGCAAATCCCCCATTTGTTCCCATACTTAAATCATAACAACCCAACAGCACTTTAATACACACTGAGCAGTTTGGGGCTACTGAGCAGTTTGCACCCAAAGGATTTATATATCTTTATAAAAAAAGATAGCAGATGAAAAACTGCAGGAAATTCCATTCATAGTACCAAAAGTATGTATCAATAGAAATAAAAGTATCTGAAGAACTAATGAAATGAACTCAAATTGAAATATATGAAATACATTTTTTCCAAATTTACATGTTCATTTACCCTTTCAGAAGTCATAAGCAAACACAAGCATTAAAGTAGCAAGACTTGTGGTTTAACAGAAAACTATAAGCAATATACATATTTTAATTAACATCTGTCTCCAGAATTTTTATGATGTCTATGTTCTATATGACTCCATTAAACGGAATAGCTTAAAAAACCTAAATCCTGCTTTGGGGGAGTAGTGGGGTAGAATCTACAGAACGTAAGAAAATAATTTCTAACGTTACTTAATAATACTGTAAAAGAATACGAACATTCCTATTTTCTATGAAGGTGAACTTGTATAAATATTCTTTAATCAGTTGCATATCAAAGTGAGGTAGCTTTTATTTCACTCAGCAGCCTGGGGAACAATTCTCTGAATGCCTTAAAGGAGCACAAGGCTAAGATAATTTCCATCTCTCCAACGTTGTACAAGTTGCAACACATGGTCATACTAAGATCTACAACATTAAGTGACTCACCTTCTCTGTTATCTCTTTTATTGAAGCTACAGTTGTCACATCAAAATGTCCACTCCTCCGTTTATAATCAATAAACAGACAATCCTTCACTCCCCGTTCAATGGCTTGTTGAGAAGCTTTCATAACCTCTGTTTCATAGAATGAGAAGACATCCACTCCCATTAATACTCTTTAGGTACAGAACACAGCTATTGAAACAATACCTGCAAATTCAGATTCTTGGGTTTTTTCCATGTTTGTGCTACCATTTAGTTCACTTATACATACGTTACTATAATATATTGTAAGCAAGTATTAATTGGCTGCATTTGCATGCTTACCAAGAGGACATCTGCAAAATTTTCCAGGGGATTCTTTGACCAACATGTCTTTCACAGCATCAAGCAAAGGACCTAGAACAAGGACTGGCCTAGGAGAGGTACAGTCCACTTTCTGTACACGCTGATACACCAGACTTGCAGAATCTATACACAGAAAAGACTTACTTAGAAATGTATAAATTATTTTCCTGGCATTCCTCAGATAAGCAGAACCACACTAACATTAATTCTTAAATTAATTCCTTTGCAAGGGCTAAGGGCCTTGGTAAGTACAAAAAGTGCTTGCTAGCCGTTACTGTGATTTTCTCTACTAAGAGCTTAAAATAGATGTTTTTCTAACTGAACATGATACACTTCTCCCACCCACCCTCACCTAAACTTTAAAACCAATCATTAATTTTCTCTCCTAAAAGTGTAAATAAGACATGACACTTGGTTTCTGTAGTTTGGTTTGTTGAGCTCTTCGAAGAAGGTAAGCATTGTAACTGATGTGATTTTTACAGAAAAAGTGAAATAATAAAAAGTGCAGGTTTTTGAGTGGTGCCCAGGATATCTGTCTAAACTAAGCAACCTGGATAGATATTAAATAGTTGAAAGGAAGATCAAAATCGTCTGTCTGCAAGTGAAACATTAATGATTCTAATAGATCTAGGAATAAACTAAAAAAAAAAATTGACACTCAAAATTAAAAAAAAATTATTAAAGAAATATATGTGATGGGACAGATTATTACCATTTCTATTCAGATCAAACCAGAAAGCAACATTATTATTTCTCTTATGCTGCAGCTGTTTAAAAACTAAAGAGAAGAAAAGGCAACTCCCTCCGAAGTATAGCAAAGTTACTTGCCATCCAAGAAAGGAATTGAGTCTGTACTGATTGTATCAAGAGCCAGTAAATCCTTTCCATCTTTGGAACCACTGCGCTTATGTTTATGCTTTCTTCTAAAGAATGACCTCCGTGCTGCTGCTGACAATGTCTTAGATGAGCTGTTTTCATCTTTAGCCTCAGACATGCTGTGTCTCCTGTAGAATTCCTGATCCATCCTATAATGAAACAGACTAACTGGTTGGTATTTCAACTTAATTTTTTTATATTTTTTCTTAAACAACACCACCACTGCTTCTGGAACACACTGGAAATAGTTGTGACAAGCCTTAGCACAAATATCTTCATTACAGAAAATTAATCAGAAACAAACTAACATAAATTAAATAATAAGCAACTGTTAACATCACAGAATGGCAGAGGGTGACCACTCCGACACACAGGGCAAAATTCTCCACGGCAGAAGCAAGTGTGCACCTACCTTGAACAGAAGTGAAGATTACATTCTTTCTACAAAACTACATGTTACGCTCATCCTTACAAACAACTTACTAGCAATCCAAAATAAGGGCTTTATTTTATGCAGTTTTATTTTACATGAGCACAAATACTTTCGCTACATAATCTATGTAAAATGTAGTTGGCTTTGCTATCCATCTTCCATTAACTACTAGCAATGATGCGTATGGCTCTCTCTATATGTACTGTACTTCCACACATTCAACGTAGTACTACTGTCCCACTGTCAGGATGAATTTCGAGTTATGACATGGAGAGAAAACTATTAGAAGAAAAGGAAACCAGAAAACCAATAATCTTAAAACAAAAAAAAAATTTAATCACTGAGTGACTACTAATGACTAATGTGATTTCAGTAACAATATTAAAAAATGAGTTTCTGCTTTACCAACATTATGAGACTGTGACAGATACAGTCTTAGATTAATGTTGCTGTCCACAGGTAAATAAAAACACTGATGCTTCCTCAGAATGACTGTGATAACCTTGGATTAAAGGATAATTTTTTCTGTGGTTACTTTTGGTATTGAATTTCTAGTCCACTATTTAGTATCATTAAAAACAATCTGATAGAGAAATATATTAATCCTATGTTATTAAATGCCAACCCTAAAACAACACATCTAAGAATTAGTATCTTCCAGAAAGCATAGAAGTAAGTGAACCTTTTATACCACATCACACTAGTCAGACATTTAAAGACTAAGATTCTGTCACTGAGATCACTCACATGTATTTACTTGGAATCTGTCCTCTTTCCAGCTTCTGAGCATTCTCATCTAGCTGCCAAGCCATCCAGCAACCAAAGTTTCCCTGTGGTAGAGTGTCATCAACATACAAAATGTCATCCTTCTTAAAGCTTAAATCCTGTTCCACCTCTGCCACACGGTCATAAAGTGCTCTGGAAAGGAAGACAGAAATAGGCTTTGCAACTCTCTCCATCAACTCAAAGGGAAGAACATGCATACTTGTTTTTAAAAAGTTAACAGATTAATGGCACACAGTACATTTCAAGAGCACACAAGTTTACAGTGCAATCTGAAGACTTACTAAGCTATAGATTATGCACTCACTGCCACAGACTATAAAATAGTAAACTTTTAATTTTACAAACACTATAAAACTGATATAATATCTCTCTCATGATGGTCAGCATGTTATCCTAACAGCCATATGCTGAGATTACCAGTCACACTGAAATACCTGATATAGAATCCATCTCCAGGAAGCTCTTTTATCTTATTAAACTCTTCTATTCTGTATTGAGTCTTTATTTTGATGTTTTCTCCAGGCTTCAACATTTCAAGGTAAGCTTCCTCAGCTGTTTTATTTCGCATATCAATGGACCCATACTGCAAAACACAAAACACAGAAGCCCTTAGGTGTGAAGTTATATCTTTACAGGTAACAGAATAAGGTGAGTTGGAAACACATGCAAAATTAGTTTGTTTTTCCCACTGGCAGGTTCTATATACAAGTAAATCTTGCCACATAAGTTTAGTAGAGCATGCACCTTAAGGTGGCTAGCAGAAGACTTAGACATGGGAACAGAAAACTAAATACCCAAGTGAGCACAGCTAACATGCACCATGAGAGACAGTTTGCACTTCTTTAAATAGTTTTCAAAATGTAAGCTAAGAATAATAAAATTGAAACTGGAAAGATTTTTCAAGAAAGAAAATGATATGATGGAAGTTAGAAACACAATTACAAAAGAAAATCCCCATCTGGATACTAGAGGTGTAATGGGAGAATCTCAATGCTTAGACAGCCTCAATGCCCAGTTCTATCTGAAAAGCTCGTAAGCACACGTGTTTATCAACGTAACAGTACTGCCAAGTAGATAAATATTCTCATTTCAGATATAGAAAGCAAAGTCAAAGATATAATGCACAGCCTTCCCTAAAATACTAGAATTTCACAGTGATTAAGATCAATATTGTTCTCTGATTTAAAAAATCTTTCATATTCTTGCCTCTCTCCTACGTAGACCAACTAGATTCAGGCCTTCCTATTTCAATAAAAAGAGCAGGTCTTTGTATTTCCAAGTAGACACACGATTTCAAATTTGTGGGAAATTTGTGCTCTCAACAGTAATAGTTCTCCAGGCCCACATCATCCAGCTCTTCTCATGTCACAGTCAGAATGAAGGTTATGCATTCTCACCATTCATAACCCAGTTTTGTGGAACTGGGAGCAGGAACTCAAGATTCACAGAACATCTGTCCCATTGCAAGACAACATGAATCATCATGCAACTCCCTCTTTATATCATCCTAGACATTTTGTGAGTGTGCTGCACACTTAATAGCTTACCTCAAGTATCATGTCACCCAAGACAAGTCCATCAGGTCCTTTTGCTGGGCTATCATCATCTACATCTGAGACAAATATTCCATACAGGTTGCCACCACATATCTGTATCCCAAGATCCACTTGTGATTTTTTAACAACAACAGTTCTAGGTTCAGGTGTCCTTTTGTTTGTATCCACAGGGCCCCTTTTGACAGGGAGAAATAACACATGTACTTCCATTTAAAAGCTTGCATTACATACTATTAGCTACCCATCTGAATAATATATATTTACAGAACTATTTTTCAAATTAGGTCACCTACAGATATGGTCTTACGAGACAAACACCATATTCCTTGAAGACCTTCTTAACTAAATCAATATGGTAGTAAATATTCTTCACTCCTTGCAGACCTCATCTTTCAATAACAGTCTGAAAATATGTACTTTTATCCTGGAATCCAATTAACTTGTTTGCTGACTTATTTCAAACGAACACAGCATTCACAGAAGAACACTGTTTTTTTAACATAATTCACATCCACCCTGATCATCTATTTTTCCTTAAGGAAAAAATTTTACTCTTTACCTTAAGGAATTCCGAGGACTTGTAGTTGGTGTGGTTTGTTTGGATGGGGGTGTCATAGTTCCTTCATCCTGTTCACTCACAGTATCAATTATGGAATGATTGTCAGGTGTTGCAGCTCCACTGCCTTGAGGGGTGGAATGATTACTCACAGGTTCTAGGCGAGAACTAATTTGGAGGGGGAAACAAAGGACTGAAGGTTAGTTTTTTGAAAAAGCAAAATATTTTCCACACAGACAATGTTTCTCATTTGGTCATAAATCAAGTATAAAGAAAGGGGAAGAAAAAAAAAAGAATTCCAAACCAGCATGCTAAATAACATAATTTCATCATAAAGCTCAGTTTTTAAGTGTGATCACGCATCAAAAATGGGATGGGTAATTTCACTAAGTAACATGCCTTCTCAAATCTGTTTTTGGAAGCTTCAAGTATAAAGAAAATTAAAACTGATTTGAAGTACTAGAAACTCTCAATCCTAAGAAGTCAACTTCAAGTTTGGTTTGATGTCTCTGAGGATTATGCCCAAAAGAGAAAGCAAATATACTAAGGACATCAAGGATTTTTATTTTCTTTTTGAGAAGCAAGTATTCACACATTACTTTTCTAAGCAATCACTAACAGCACCTGTACAGAAGTTATTTACTAGCAAGATAACTGCATGGACCAGAGAGTAGTTTTTTCAAAGTCTAGCCAGCCTTACCTTGACCGTGAATGATTGCCAAGCTGATACATATGTGGGTTATACTGAGCCAGAATAGTAATGGTGTCGCACTGCTGTCCAATGATTAGTCGAGCCTGTTGCTCTGTAGCATTTCTCAAATTTATTCCATTAAACTATGGAAAAAATGCACAAACATGGATGCCAAGTTTTCAGATGAGAAGTAGCAAAATCATTCCTTCAGTGTCTTAATTAGTTTAATGTCTAAATGCTGACTTACTTCCATTGGGGCAAATAAGAGGGTGGCAGTGCTGCTATACAGGGATTCCTAGGATTTACTCTTTGGACAGAATCACTGCTAGTTCAAAATATTCATTAACCTGACTGTGAGTTTAAAAACCTTTTAATTTTGGAAGATATAGGTATTCTGACTTGTGTTATGATTTGATATCACTGATTAAATAAAAGTTGGTTCGACCAAAAATTCAGATCTGTGATCCATTCAGGTCCATTGTACTATCATCCACACACTGTGAAACAGAATATGCTTTAACATGCACAGGCATGAACAGATATAACATTTACAAAGCAGCTCTGCTCTTCACAAAATCCTCCTCCATGTTTATCTAATACTGCAGGCAAAAACATGACTGTAGATAATCTAAAGCCTACCTATTTTTTTAAAACGGGCTGAGGTAAAGATATAGCACAGCAACAGCAGCATGAAACTCAGTTCAAGTCAGATGCTTGCATATTTACTCACCCTACCAGAGAGAGTATGGTGTTGGGACTATAGTGTTTTAAGTACCAAAACTAGCTAGCTTCAAATTTCATTGAAAATTCATATATGCAATGTGCATATGATGCAATAAGATGGAATGTAGATCTACCATCAAAAGACATTACTTTTTCATAAAGCCTGACAAGTCTCAACAATCACAATTACTGGAATACTACAAATACAGTGTAAGTACCCTTTGCTACACAAGCTTTCACAAGATATTCATTTGGGAAAGGCAGTTATGGCTGGAGTCATACAAGCTGATTCATTAAGCCATAGGAATAGTAAGCAAACAATTACCTCTAGTAACTGATCACCATATTCAAGGCCAGCTTGATGGGCAATGCTCCCACCTGTTACTTTAGAGACAAATATTCCACCATTTTCTCCGCTCACAATGGAAATCCCTAGTGGCTCAGAACCCTTCTGCACTTTAACATGTCGTGGCTCTTCCATGTAGGGCCTTTTAGAGGAGATAGTTAAAACCGATTTGGACAAAATTGCACTTGAACCATTACAATGTCAAAGCTACATGCAATACTTTATGTCTGTCTGAATCGTAACAATAAATTAGATTTAAATAGTTACTTCAAACAAACTTACTGTCAATTGTATTAAATGCATTCCTTTAAAACCATGCAGTACATTGACAGAAGTAAACGTATACAGGTACATGACTGCTGTAAAACATTATGGTAAATATGAATTATAAATAGTATGGTGGTGAAGTTGGTAGGAAAGAAGCTTCCAGATGCATATTATATAAAAGTAATTGAACCACTGTATACAATATGTCATTTACAAACCATATTCCAGAAATACTACAAATATAATGCTGGGAGTCTTTATCGCCGGTGAAAATAAAGATCATAAATAATAAGGTGGTAAACCAAAGGACAACAATGCACAAATATCAAATTTCATATTTGTACGCAAACATAAATTAGTAATGGAAAGTAAGCATTTGCAAACTCAAGCCATTAAGACAGCAGTTTGCATGGTAGCATTACAATTACCATGCAAATTCTTCTCAGGGCAATTACTCAAACATGTACAATGGCACAAAGTGCGCAATACTGCTTGAGAAGGACAACCTTATATCAGGCCAACCTCAAACTCCTTAGTGAGGAGAACCTAGGCCTAGGAGCCACAGGGATTCTCAGAAAAGACCTATTACGGAACAGATATCTGAAAGATGTAGAAAATTTGAGAAGAAAAGAACACTTAGAAAAAGACACACAGTAGTAAGACACTAGTAAATATAACAAGAGAATGGTTTATATAAAAGAAAAACCTGAGACATTCCCCTTCCCTCCCCCCATAGTTGGAATGCATCCACCTGTGCAAACAGGGCTGGTCCCTTCATGATGTGTATGAACAGTAGCCGCCTAAACAGTGCTGGTTCATATTACTATGAATTTAACAAAGTCTACACAACTAAAGGCATCACCACATATTAAACAGCTCAGCTAGTTCTGAATGAAACAGCTTGGGTACCAAGTGTGGTGTATTTTTTATTTTAATAGAACTATGACACTTTTGACATGCATTAACTTCCAAGTTTTCCTTCCTAACACTGAATTGTATCATCTAGAGATTCTCTAAAACGTGCCAATGGCTTCACTACTTTAATTGTGCTGTTCAGGGAACAGATGAGTTAACTGGACTTCACTCACTGATACTGACGTGAGCCAGGCTGAGGAAAGGTATTTTTGGAAAGAGCAGGATTTGGGGTTAGGGGCAGAAGGAAGAAGACAATTTAATAAATCATGGTTATTGCCAGAGTCTTTGAAGACAACTATCTGGTAGCCTTCTGCAAAAGGAACATAACAGTTTGCCAGCTTATTAAATGCATAAAGGATAGAAAATGGCTGCTAGTATGAATGCAGCCCTGAACCCAGCAATCTTAAAAAGGCAACATTGCTGTTAGAGGTAACACCTTCAGAACTCGTCTGCTGATGTAAAGAAGATAAGGTAAGTTTAACTGCCAGCAAATTTAAATGAAGCCCACATGTCCTCTGTATAGCGTATCTTGATTAAACTGTGCTAACCCCCAGAAAATTGCAAATCATGAACTTTTCTTTTGTTTACTCATTATGAGCATGTAAACCACAATTTTATATGAAGCTTTTTAGTATCACAAAATTTATCAAGGAATATTACCCAATTATATACTAAAATTATGTCTTTCTGATCTTTATTTCTTGTTATCTTCTGGCTTTCCATCTACCACATGCATTTTCAAAATTGGTTTTCACAAGACAATACTAACTTTTACATTGCGTCACAAGCAAAGGATTTTTGCATGTTATTAAAAGGATTTCTAGCTGCTCATCGTTCAGTAGGAGACCCTGAGCCTGCACCGTTTACTTATTTTTCCCATTCAAACTAACCAGAAAAGCAGCCTCACACCTAGGTCTAACATTTTTTTTTTTGTACCTCAAGTCTGCCTCTCAAACAGAGTCATTATTTACCAAAATTGGTTTTGTTTTGGATTGGAGTAATAAGAAAGAAAACAACTTGCATCTTAGAATTCTGGCAAATACAGAATGAAAGATAACTAGTAATGCATGTAGTAGAGAATCAATAAGGAAGTAAAACAAAATACTAATCAGCAGTGTTATGAAAATAAAGCAAAATGCACTCTTCTATAGCAGACTGACTGACAGAATCACTAAACACTTTTTATAAGAAGTCTTAATTGATTATATCTTTAAATTTTCCTTTAAATTAAAACCAACAGAACAACTAAATTATTATTTCCTCCCATGTACTATTACTATTTTTATCTGAGGAAAGGCCAAGCTAGTTACTTGTATTTTGTGGGTAACAAAAAGAATTAAGACCAAATAAACATTTCAAATGTTATCTAACCATGTTAAAAAATTTTCCTGGGATAGACTTAAATTAGTGACTTTCCTAAATTAAGAACTAATTATGATAGTTATTTTTTTAAAAAAACAAAACAAAACAAAATTTACAATTATATTGTTTTGAGAAAGACAATTCAGACTATAGTTTTCACACACACATAGCAAGAATGAAGGGGCTGGAACCTGACTCTAGTTCATTTGTCTGATCAGCATTAACAGAAATTGTTATTTCCCAGAGATCAGAACATGTATCTTGTACTCAGAGATACTAAGTTATAGGAGTGTGAAAACCCTAGCTTTTTTGGCTGAATAGTATACATCATTTGTCAAGTGAAACAGAACAGAAAATCTGACTTCGAATTTGCAAGTGACAATTAGAGGAACATTTATATGAGAACACAAATTGAGTACACACATAGTACAAAAGTCACACTGAAGCAAGAAAGAATGAAAATATACAGAGACCTCTTTACATTCCTTTTCAAAGTAACTGTTCCTTTTATAAAACATACATTCTAGAGTTATTATAACTTAATGATCCTTTAAATGAAACAAAAGTTTCATGTAACATTTTATGAATGACTTTTTATTACTACCAGAAAACTGAGAATACAGAATATGCTTATTACTTTATCATTCACATTTTTTTACAGTCAGTCCTTATACAGAAGTCAAGCAATACAAAGGGGTCTTGAAGTCTACAGAGATGTAATCTATTCCAACACATCATAGCTTCTTTACAGTGCCAGAATGGCATTCAGCTGCCTTACTGTAAATAAAAGCCTGATTCAGATTTGTGTCTTACTGTTAAATGCTTTGAGTTCATGCAAACTTTTTCATATTCAGTCCAGCCAGATCATGGTATATCCAAGACTGATACCATAGGCAACTTATCCTGAGAATGTCCATCATGCCATATAGAATCATTAAAACACAAAGCTCATGTTTTTAAGAAAGCTATCATATCAGGTTCAAATTCTGCAAGCAACTACACATATACTTTATACTGCTAGTAGCAGTCTAGGCACAGCCAAAGGGATCAGTCACAGTAGTAAAATTGCATCTGTACTTAAGGAAATGTTCTTGCACAGTTATGCCTTCAACTTTTCATGTTATCTAGCTAAACTGAATCAAGGCACAGTGGTTACAGCACATATTTTACCATGTTAAGGCATTGAATATTTAGCTATTAGATATTACTAGGTCTTCATTTTATTTAGCTTTCCTGAGCATGAGGAAAAAACAAAAACAAGCCTATTATAAACAAGCATCTGAGGTTCAGCTGAAGAAGTGTATTTCAATTTAGACGGCTCTTACTTGGTGTGACAACTAAGCTAACAAGGGAAAATAAAACCCTTATGAAATTATTTATTCTTTTATTTTGGAAGAAAAAAATTAACACAAAAATCTCTTACATACTCTGTAAAGGAAATAAAAACACCAGTTAACAGGACCCAAGGTGCACCTCTGCACCTACATATTTGTCATTTAAATTAGATGCTCACATTCCTTCAGCCCAATAAAAAAAATGTACAAAATTTCCTCAGAGACTTTTGTATTAATGTGGGGACCTTACCTATCTTTTCTACGTTCTCCAATAGACACAGGGCTAATGGAAATCCTAGGTAACGTCGAAAGGGAGTTCTGAGACTGGCTGCTGGCGAAGGAAGATGTTTCCAAGTTCAGTGGTGACTGTGGAGGAGTTATCAAGCTGGGACTGCTACATTCAGAGTGTGACAAGGAGCCTATGGAAAACCAACAGTTGAGTTTTAATATCCTGCCTCTGGCATGCTTTGGAGATTTACACATAGTGGAAGACATCATGCACATCTGAAACAAAAAAAGTGACCAACTCTACACCGGCACTCAACTGTGTAAGGAGATTAGGCAGACAAGGTAACTAACTTCAGACTGTGCAAACTTACTGTCTTTAATGCCTTACTGTCACATCTGTCATACGTGTGTATGCAACTACTGTCGTTCCCAACAAGGAGTGGAGGTTACAGACAAGCTACACCATATGCATGTCTGAAAACATTTTGCAATGCAAAGTTAAAGAAAAATAATAAAAAACAGGAAAGGATAAGTAAAATAAAAATCTAATACATAAGCTTATTTTAAAATAAAAGTACAGCCCTTTCCTTTGGGTGACAGATATATAATGAAATACCTGAAAACATCAACAAAACCCACAAACACACAGACAGGAAAACTCTGCAATTTCAAACAAACTTGAGATGACTGCATCTCTTCCCTGGTTGTGTCCTCCCTGAGTAATTTACTAAAAAAGTGCTCTGACAGAAACATTCAGTTTGCTTCCTCTGAAGAAGCTACAGAAAACAGGTCTTGAATTACTAATCACAAATTAAAGCCATTTGTAAGAACTGTATTTGACCCGTTAAGAAAACCACTGCCGATGATGCATTAAGGCAACAGGACATTTGAACAATGATAGCAGCACAGTTGCCATTTACTGCCATCAAACTCTGAACTCTACAGCTCTCCAGCACTCCAAATGGTATTTGGATCATATCTCTAAATATTCCCATACCAAGCAATTGCAAGTAGTAAAATATTTTCACTGAGTTTCAAAATAAACTTACTGTCAGTAATAGAGTAATATGCAAAATAATATATTTAAACAATAAAAACCAGTAATGCTGGTCACCTCACTGTTGAAACTTTTCAGACATCATTCTAGAAGAAAAAGACAACTCTAAGATAGAGAGCAATGCTTACACTTGCCCTTTGTGTGCACTTTTTCTTAGTGTGCCACATACTAGAGTAAACTAACAGAAAAATCCTTCATTAGAAACTTACATTATAAAGTTTCTGGGTTTTTACTTTTATATGGCAAAAGGCAAATTTTGTAACATTAACAAAACTCAGATTTTGGTGCAATGTGATTTAACAATAGCAAAGGCTTTGGACTGTTAATACTGAAAATAGTTCAACTGTTATTACTTATTAAATCATTCACCTCTGTCAGAGCCCATCATGGACCTTGGATATCTTGGTGTTAAAGGGATCTTAATTCGTTCTGTTCTGTATTGCAAGTTACTTGAAGAACCTATTTTTACAACAAGAAAACATTACAATGACTAAAGTAAAAGCAACTATGCATTGAACAAAAAAGTAAATTCAGACTCTACTTCTTCCATGAGCATTAAAATGGCCTCTGAATTTATGCGCAAGCCTTAATGATTACCTTCATATATATTGTGTATATCATAATTCTAGCAAATTGTGTCAATTACACAGTTAGTATAAACAAAGCACAATGCAGCTATACAGTAGATAGTGTTCAACCTTGTATGAAAAATATTCTGAATATTTTTCAACCAAATGAAACTTAACTTGAAGGCTGAGCAAGAATCTAAAATCTCTGTTTACTAAGAATCCATGGGACTTTCCAAAAGGCATTCTGATGTGATGAATACATCATTTTTTGACACTGGTTCCAAACTGTTATGCCATTTTTTTTACTGTTGTTACAAAGCTGCCATGTTCTATTCAGAAGCAACTACCAATCATTGATGGAACACAGGAAAACAAACACACACAAAAAAGTTACTCAAAATGTAAATTTTTAAAAACTGTTAAATGTTAAAATGTCATTCCTACAAAGCATGCATTTGCTTTGGTATTGACTAGGACAGGCAATGAAGTAAACATAAGTGTAACTTATCTTCCAACAATACGATTTACATTAGGCCATTAGTCACCCTTGATGTTTTGTTCTGGAGACTCTCTCCTTTCCTTCTCTTCTTTCCACCTCAATGAATCTCAAAAATATTTCCACTGGGCCTCACATCTTTATAAGAGCACTTTCAAACAGTAACAAGCATAGACAGGAGACTCACACACACAGCAATTTAAAGAGACTATAAAGAATTAATTAAACATAGCTACTTGCAGGGAATACCTTTAGTCATAGAAGCACAAAAATATGGACCAAAAAGGAACACAGGAAGCCTTAAGACTTTGCTAGCTATGACAATCCTATAATGCACATACTTAAGGAATTTTCCATTTATTCCTTGTCACTAACACACTGGAGTCCCAAAGGAAATAATTCAGAAAAGCTAGTTACCAAGTCTTGCACTGGATGGCAATGAATTGGAGCCATGAGATGTTCTTGTACGTGAATTTTCAGAGTAGTCATTGGAGTGTTTATGACTTAGATCCAAACTCAGGCGACCTTGATGCTGGGAACTACATAAAGAGGAGAATAGGGCAACAGTTAGAATTGGGCAAGGCACCTCAGCTAATAGCAAATTGGCCAACAAAAAATTTTGGTTTACTGAATAAAATGTATGCTCCTCTCCTTCAGACTTCCCAATTAGCCCATCATTTTATCAATTGAGAGAAGTCAGAGGAAAATAGCCTAAAAAAAAAAAAGGGAAGGTTTCATTTTTTTTTGTTAAGGACAAGAAGAAGCACTAGGTATTAGTTAATTAAAAAAATACATTTCTTTGTCCATATCAGCCAGTGGAGCAGAGGAAAACCTAGTCCATCAGTTACTTAAAGATATGAAAGCAACTGGCACATCACTTCTATACAATAATGGCATTCAGAACCCTGGGTCAAAATAACACACAACAGCAGTACATTTCACTCTGCACTGTATAGAACTACCAGAAGCAAATTCACACTAATGAAAACAAAGATTTAAGGAGATACAAATTTCAGAACACCTGGGATGCAGATGCTGATGGCATATTTGGCTGGCAACTGATGGGCAATTGCTGGTGTGAACCCTATGGCTCCAGGCAGTGTAGATTGGATTTCTCATTACAGCAGTTACTGCAGGGCAAGGTGCTAAGCTTCTTGGAACAGTTCCTGCTTAAGATGATAAAAACACATGATTACCAACATTATTAGTACATATGCAACATACTTTAAATATATTTACATGTTTATATAATTGCATATTATTACGTTTGCATATAGGAGCATGCATCTATAAACACAAAATTATCAGTATACGGACAAATACATTATTCAGCACCATGTGACAACTTTTAAGTAGCACATGCATATTTAAAAACTGGATTATAATTTTGTAATGAGTCAGTAATAAAGTGGATTAGATTACCAAAAACTGAAGTATATAATTTTAATAGGTACCGGTAACTAAAAGATTTTACCTGTTTTCAAGTTTTAAACTTTTTTATACAGCAACAGAGATTCTGCATTTCTCTCTGAATAGTCATCTGACAGGAACACAAGTTTTTGTTTGGTACTTGAACTGACTGCAGCTAAGATGACTCTTGTTCCTCTTCTGTTGCCTCAAAGACTTCCACTTCTAGTGTGTCCTATGACTTTAAATTATAGCATTTCAATATTTATTTATGAAACTTATTACTCAAGCTGTTCCTTTAGGTACATACATCCTTCAGTACTCAACCAACTGACAGCAGCCCAGCAGAGAAGGACCTGGGGTTACTTGTGGTTGAAAAACTGGACATGAGCCAGCAATGTGTGCTCATAGCCCAGGAAGTATGTTGGGCCACATCAAAAGGAGTGTGGCCAGCAGGTTGAGGGAGGCGATTCTCCTCCTCTACTCTGCTCCTGTGAGCTCCACCTGGAGTACAGTGTCCAGCCCTAGAGCCCTCAGCACAGGAAAGCCATGAACCTGTTGGGGTGGGTCCAGAGGAGAGCCACAGGAACAGAGGGCTGGTGCACCTCTCCTAAGACAGGCTGAGAGAGCTGGGGTTGTTCAGCCTAGAGAAGAGAAGGGTCTGGGGAGACCTTATATTGCAGCCTTATGGTACTTAAAGGGGACTCATAAGAAATATGGGGAGAAGTTTTTCAGATGGACCTGTCACAATAGGACAAAAGCTAATGGTTTTAAACTAAAAGAGTGTCGATTTAGACTAGATATAAGGAAGACATTTTTTACAATGAGGGTGGTCAAACACTGAAACAGGATGCTCAGAGAGATGGTAGATGCTCCATTCCTGGAAACATTCAAGATCAGGCTCTGAGCAACCTGATCTAGTTGAAAATGTCCCTCTTCATTGTGGGGAGGTTGGACTAGATGACCTTTAAATGCCCCTTCCAATCCAAACTATTCTAGGATTCTATGATTCAAAGTCTGCTTGACTCATTTCCTCTTAAATCAGTTAGCAGCATAGAAGACAATAGCAAAAACTTGTTCATATTTCAAGATATACAATAGTTTTGTTGAATGTAAGTTTGACTTGACTGGGTTATTACACAAAAGTGTCATGATAAGGTAAAGCTTTCCCTCAGAAATTATACCTTTAAAATTTTTTTCTACTATAATTAAAAGAGAAAGAAAAGAGTAAAAGAAATAAAAAAACTCTGTTGGGCAGCTCTCCAGCCACTCCTCCCCAAGCCTATAGCACTGCTGGGGCTTGCTGTGGCTCAAGTGCAGTACCGGACATTTGGTCTTATTGAAACTCACACACCTGGCCTTGGCCCATTGACCGACCCTGTCTAGATCCCTCTTGTAGAGCCTCCCTACCCTCAGGCAGACTGACACTTCCACCCAGTTTAGTGTCATCTGCAAATTCACTAAGGGTGCACTCACTAAGGGTGCATTCTATCCCTTCATCTAGATCATTGAAAAAGATGTTAAACAGGACTGGTTCTAGTGTTGAGCCCTGGGAACACCACTTGTGATTGGCTATCAACTGGATTTAACTCCATTGACAACAACTTTTTGAGCCTGGCCATCCCACCAGTTTTTAAACCCAGCCAAGCACACACCCATCCAAGCCATAAGCAGCCATTTTCTCTTGGAGAATGCTCTGGGAAATGGTGTCAAATGCTGTATTAACGTCAAGATAGACAACATGCACAGCCTTTCCCTCATCCGATATGTGGGTCATCCCATCATAAAAGGAGATCAGGTTTGTCAAACACGACCTGCCTCTCATATATCCATGCTGACTGTGCCTCATCACCTGGTTATCCTGCATGTGCTGTATAACAGTACTCAGGATGATCTGCTCCATCAGCTTTCCTGGCACCAAAGTCAAACTGACAGGCCTGTAATTTCCCAGATAATCCTGTTCCTTGTTAAATATGGGTGTCACACTGGCTGACTTCCAATCCTTTCGTACCTCTCCAGACAGCCAGAACTGCTGATAAGTGATGGTAAGTGGCTCGGTGAGCACCCTCGCCAGCTCCCTCAGCATCCGTTGGTGTATCCCATCTAGCCCCACAGATTTGTGGGGTGTGGCAGATCACTGACCATCTCCTCCTGGATTGTGGGGGGGGTTTATTCTACTCCCGTCATTACCTCCTTCATGGTCTCCAGTAAGTATAAAGTCTTCCATTATTTCTAAAACATTCAGGAGTTTGGGAGTTTCCAACAAATTGAAGTTAAACTTATAAAAATCAATATGGTCTTGATTTGAAAGCCAAGTTTTGTATCCAGCTACTAAAGGTAGCAACAATAAAGACTGAACAATCCACCTGGCAACAAGTTTACCAGGTTTAAGCAAATGTTTCTTGACCAGTTCAAAGCAACTAGTGTATGATACCCTAATTGTCTCCTGAAGCACTTCATTTAGTAGGTACCAATTGAAAGCATGGTAACATGAACCTCAATACCAACAACTGTTTGATCAACTGAGACCACATGCTGTTTTCCATTCTCCCTGATTATACCGATTTCTGTGTGAGATCCTTGCAAGTCTTATCTTCAGTATCTTACTATCTCAAACACACTGGCATTTAACTTGAATTTAGATAAGGAACACAACCAGTTTGGGCACTTAACTTGAGATACTCCAAGGATTTGATTTCCAATATGCAGAACTTAATACGTTGTACTTCCTGGACAGCAGATCTTTCTCCTTGGAACTACTTCAGAAATTCAGAATCTGAAGCTTGGGATGCCTCTATTTACTGTTCACTTTCAAAAATGTTGTAAATCTTACTTGTATCCCTGATGTATAGGCTACATCTTGATAACCACTAATGTATTCAAAACTCCTCTGAACAGAAACTGATTAAACACAAGTTCTGAAGCCAGAATTTTCTCAGCTTTCTTAATGGTTCTTAAACAAGTTACTTCACTATAGTAAAAAAGCTGAGCAGACCACGTTCAGATTACTACAGACCATGGAAATATGTTCTGCGAATCATGTTTGTTCTGCACTTAATAGAACTAATCTCCAGGATTGGCCAATGTGGATAAATTCTTTGAGTGATTCTTAGAAAGTACCTACAACTTCCAACACTCACCAGCTGACATGCCACCAGCATATAAGGCAGCAGACACAAAGCCATCACTGTGCCTAGCAGACCGTTTTGGTGAATATGGTGTCCATTCCTGCAGCTCTGGAGATAGATGCTCCTCACTAGCTGGGGGATACTTCTGCACCTAAAAAACCCCAGAAATTTGATTACAGGAAGTTGGGGATTTGTAAGAAAAAAATAAAATAGTCAAACTTTGTAGGCAGTAAGCAACTTGAAAATTTCTAGTATCTATTCCAGAACATGATCATCGTCACAGTGCTAGTTGTTCTTTTATCTTTCAATTACGATATTCACTTCTACTCTTTTGCTTCCTTCATTATCTCTGAATTTTTAGATACATGTGGAGTAATCTCCCTTTAACAGACCAATTCAGGTTTCGGAACCTTCACAACTTCTGTTCTGTACATAGTGAGTAGGCACTGGTGAGTCAAGAAACAGGAGAATAACTCCGATACTGACAGTGATGCTTCAGAGCTAAAAGTCCAGGGCTCAGCAGAGTTTACACACTTGAAACATACAACACAAAACATAAGGCTGATGTAAGAAATGAAACATAATTTCTGGAAAGGTACTTACAGTTTTTTTTACTATACCAGTATTTTAATTAAATGAAGAGTTACTGAGAGCACAAAGACTACAAAATGCAAAGGTACATTCCTAGAACCAACACTTGATCATTATCATGGATGTATTAGGAATTGTACCACTGGCTACTCCAGGATAAAAGTTCTCTAAATTCATCAACTTTGCAAAGGACACAAACTTAACTATGCCTACACATACAACTAAGGAATGTTGGCTACATTCCTAGAAATTCTATACCTGCCACCTGAGCAAATCTGAGTCAGGGAATCTGAAACCACATTATTGTTTATGCAACCTCTATATTATGTAGTCATCTAAATAGTTTTGTCTTCCTAGACCACATAAAATGTTTCTGCAACTTACTCTGGTAAGACATGATCCACAATCTTCACAGTGGCTTTGTTTATTCTAGCAAATTACATTCTCATTTTCAAATGTATTAATAAACTATGTCCTCATAAAGATTCTGACTTTGCAGTGTAGTGTGCCTAACACAGGCTACGCCTCTCCTGTTTTTGAATGTAACTTGGTACCCCAAGTCACGCTGAAAATATACTCAAGCATTTCTAGTTTTGTGCTTCAATATACAAAGTTTCTACCTGAAGTGCAGGATTAGGAATGGGCATAGGGGTCATTTTATGTCTCAGTGCAGGAGCCGATTTTGGCCTTGGTCTTTTAATCTCTGGCTCTTCAACTCTTTGAAAGCCAATGTCATCTTCACAGGATTTCCTTGAAGAGAGATGAGCACAGTCGATGCCCTCCTCCCGATAATAATGCCCAGTGTTCCTGCTGCGTCCCTTGAGAGCAGCAGAGTCCTGTTTAAGCGCCAAGGAAACTGCAGCTTGGGCAGTGGCTGGGCTGGTGGGTGGTGATCCAGTTGTTACCGTGGACTCCGATGCAGAGCTTGCCTGCTGTTTATGTTTAAACTTGATAGAGTCAGTTCTCTTAGGAGGAGTCGGAGGAGTTGAAGCTACTTCAGCTTTTGATGGCTGAGGTGAATGGCCTGTCACCTGATTAGAGGAAAGGTACTCCAGGTTGGGAGGAGTTGGTGGTCTTTTGAAAGTATCAGGATCAAAGATAGATTTCCTTTGTTTTGGCTTTTTGTACACAGAGAACTTTTCTGTTTCTGTTGCTGAGATATTAACTACAACTTTTGGCCAGGTACCACCACTGTGTTTGGTTCCATGTCCTTTATCAAATGCAGCCTCAACCATCATACAGTCAGCTCCTGTAGGTTCATAAGGCAGCCTCCTGTTGTCCAAGTCAACAGCTCCAAAGCCTCTCTCCCCATATGTCTCTGGGCTGAATGAGCTGAGACTGTGTTCTGAGTTACTATGGCAACCATGCACTGTGTTCCTATGAGAGTCTACATGTAATGTGTTATTAGGGAAAGGTTTGTGTTCACAAAATGAACCACTGCCCTGATCACTTTGGTCCTTCTTGCTATCCATGATGTCTGGATTGAAAATGTCAGTCTGTGTTGAACAGTTGAGTTTCAGATTTCTTTTATTTTGGGCTTGTATCTCTGATGCATGAACCCTACAGTTTGATATTTTTTCTGAATCCTTCAGATTTTCAAATATATTTTGACCACTCCAAGATGAACTCTGAGGAAAAACCTAAAACAAACAAAAAAACCAAGTGATCACCTTCTTAATATGGCTGATTTCTGTTTAGTATGAGGCATGTTCTAGCCTCCTTGAGTTACCTATACCTGAATATACACAAATGTATAGACACGGTTGGGAAAGGCTTAATAAAATCTTGCAGATGCAAAGCACAGAACATATGATACAATGAAACTAAAAATATTTCCAACATTCTCAGAACAATTCCTGAAGGGAATTCCACATTGTGGCAGAAGCACTGTACTGACTGCAAAAGGACTTTCATTCTACTACTACCTCTGTTAAGTGATGCTATTAAGTAATCTTCCATTGCCCATTTTCCCTGAAGCATTTAATCTAAAACCTCAAGCTCTCTGGAACTGGAATTATCACTCACAAAGCACACGTGACAGGCCCAGCCTAATGGGATTCTAACCTCAATAAGCAAAACTGAATTTTGCTGAATTCCTGAAACATTTTTATAGCAATACACCTAAAAAATAAAGCCCTGTACTTAATCCTCCTGATAGCCAGAGTTCAGTTTTATGAGCAACTCCTTCCTAACTAAAAGCAAACCTTTCTGTAGTCAGGAGGAAGTTAATTTTTCATGTACAAAACTGCTGCAGCTCTGAAGCAGAAACCACAACAAAAAATGTAATTGTGCTGGAAGTCATCTCATGTGACCAGCAGACAAATGGGAAAGAACCAAGAACAATAAAGAAGTCCAACTTACCATCAAATGCCACAACAGCCTTACTTTGGAAATAACTGACGAATGTACCACCAGCGAAATGCATCCAGGCGGTCTGATTTTTAGCAGATTTTCCCACTATGATTTTTTTTTTAAATATATATATATATTCCCTGAACAACTGAAATAATTCTGTATAAATTCAAGAAAATGGCAATTTTAGCTTCTCCTACTCACCTTCATCAGTGACAGGGTAAGGGAATCCCTACAGTTTCGTAGCAAAGCTTCACATTCCGTAAGCGACTTATTATCTAGTGCAATACCATTGATCTAAACACAAAAAAAAACCCAAAACAGATATCCATAAATCAAAGATAGCAGATGGGGAGCATCTTAAGGTAGTGCCTCTGAGACAGGGAAAACACTAGTTTTATATGTATGCATGACTGAAGCCTGGTTGACCTTTTCCTGACAAGCCAAGTGTGAAGAGTAAGACAGTGAGTATGTCAAAAGTCCTCGTATGAACTAGAAGTAGCAAATAACCTGCACAATATATTAATCACTCAGCCTACAAACACATTGATTTATAATAAATATTTAGTAGATATACAAAAAGGGTTTAATACTGTGAACATGAAAAACTAGTTAGAAAGTTTGGGATCTTAAGGAGTTATATCAATGATAACACTTGAAAATTAAAGAAAAAAATTAAAAAGGAGAATGCCTTCCTAAGACTTACAGCAATTATTCTGTCTCCCACAGTAAGGGAACCCTCTTTGGCAGCTGGGCTTCCAGGCACAACAGCAGCAACAAATACTCCATTTTCTAGACTGACCCCACTATCTGAAATACACAAAATAAAAATTAATGTACTCCTATAATTCAAATATAGGGGCTTACATGAAAGTCAGGGAGGGGCTTTTCAGCAGAGAGGGCAGTGATAGGACATGGGGTAATGGTCTTAAACTGAAAGATGGGATATTTAGGTTAGACATTAAGAAAAAATTCTTCACCATGAGTAAGGTGCTGGAACAGGCTGCCTAGGGAGGATTTGGAAGCCCCTTCCTGGAGGTGTTTGAGGCTAGGTTGGATGAGGCTTTGTGCAGTCTGGTCTAGTGTGAGGTGTCCCTGCTCATAGCAGGGAGGTTGGAGCCTTGATGATCTTTTAGGTTCCTTCCAACCTTAACAATTCTATGATTCTATACCTTGCTTAAACAGTATGTCTGTCCTGTCTGCACAAGGATGAAATGTAACTAACCAAACCAACTGAATTTCAATTTTTATAAAACCCTTTTAAAGAAATAGGAACACAGTGGAGGAAATAGGGATATATCCCAAAAGTTAATATTGCCATACAAAGCTGGGGTGACTGGTGCACTTAAGAGTCTTGTTTAGACACCCAATAACACTCCAGACAGACAGCTAGCTAGAACTAAATTTAAAATCAACCTAACAGAACAAAACCCACCTAAGAACAAAAAAAAACAAACAACCTTTACTTAAAAAACAAAGTTATCAACATAAACATTCTCAGTTTGCTAAAAACAATTAATAAAAATGGTTAAATAGTAACAGTTAAAGTGGGATGTAAGCAGAGGCTCAGAAAATGTACCTTTAAGTCATGTCATTTTTAGCTGAACAAGCACATACCATTGGCATACAGACTTTATAGCCATTACCTTTATGTCCGGAAATGTTGATGTGAAGAGGTGTTATGACTCGCCCACCTAAGGACTTCCTTCTTCGAACCACCATATTAATGACACCTCCTCCATTTAGAACAGCTTTTATAACTTGCTTTTTATCCTTATTCGTAAGATCTACATCATTTATCTTCAGTAACCAATCATTCACTCTGGCAGATAAACAGAAAAAAGCAGGTCAGTGTTGCAAACATTTTGCTGGATGCAGCACATGAATCACATTCATGAAAAGGGATGCAAAAGAGCTGATCTCAACATTCTATTTCTTGATTATCTGGAGTTCTCTGTTCCTGAAAAAATATTAAATGGCAGCTAAATGACAAGCAGGACTTCCAGTCTGCACTTAAAAAGTATAGCCTCAAATCAGTAACGACTATTCCTTATTTTAAAACACCAGTTTGGACAGAGAGGAGTGGTTAAAAACCTCCTATCAACACTAAGAACAGAAGCAGGTTTCGTATTATCCTTTGCTCTACTCTCCTTTCCCCATGGCCTCCCTCAGTAGCTCATTCTCATGTCTTTCCCAAAATTTAAATAAATAGACCAAATTTGAGGATATAATAAAGTAGGTGAGACAGAATAGCAAAAGGACATTTCAAATTATGGTGAATTTTTGCAGGTGAGTAAAATAGCTTTTAATTTCTGCATACACATATGACCAATGATAAAAAAACTTTAAAGAAAAGGAAAACATGAAGACAACTTATACTACAGTCAGATTTAATTTATCATGATCAACAAAAGACAAGTATCTTCCAAACTTTAACCCTACCTTAATCGACCATCAGCAATGCTTCCTTTGTCTACTTTGGTAACAAAGATTCCACAGTCTCCAGGGAGGTATGGTTCATTAACACCTTCTGCCACATCAAAGCCAAGTGCTTTCAAGTCCATATCATCCTATTAAATATTATTAAGAAATGACTCAACTGTCCAGGCAAGGATTGTGTCACTGCCTGTTAACAAGACATATTACTGCATGTTTGTAGTATGCACTTAGATTTATAGGGTACCTGTTTCATGTAAGTTTTTATAACATGTACCTCAATATATAAGCTTCCAATTCCATTAGTTATCAGGCATCCTTTGGCATTACACCAGATCCTTCTCTCTCATAGATTAAAATTGAAATAATAGAGAAGGCAAATTTCAGTAAGAGGAATAGAAGTGCAAAAGCACACGCAAGAAAGCATGGTAAGCCACATGTAACCTTTTTGAAGGCATGATGCTGGATGTGTAATGAGAGCAAAAGGACATGCTCCCCAAGAATGGGCATTACCTGGGGAAGAAACAAATGTAAAGATATGAAAACAGTGTTGTGTCTTAGTGATGAACTCAAAAAGACATCCACTTTGATACGTCTGAAGACCAGAGGTGAACAAGAAGGAAAGCTCTAATACTAGGGGATACCATTTCTAAAAAGAGATTAGAAGCAACGTACTACCAGCCCTGGACCAAAACAGATCATCCTCAATGTGAAAAGTGATAAAATCTTGAAGAAATCAGTCATTGAACCAAACAGGGAAGTTTTTGTTTAGTGTTTGCTTTGGTAAACAGCAAGGTCACTGCAAAAAAACTGGTTACAGTAAATAAACTGGGACCAACTGATCACAAACTGACAGTATTACTTTTTCAGTGTGAAATAGTACACTTAAAAAAATTAGATAACTATTTGAAATCTACTCAACCAACCATCTCAGCATACTCATTGGAGATGTTACTTGAAATGTAAAACCTAACATGCAAAAATTAAATAGAGCTTATATCAGGCATGTAAAGCATGGTTCTAGACATGGTCCAGTAACTAATCCCCTTAAAACCAGGACAGCATAAAGTCTTCAGGGAAGCTAGACATAAAACATGCAAAAATATTAATATTTACTAGAAACTAAATTGAGCTAAACCTGCCAAAAATAGGCTAGAATCCTTATGATTCTTCCAAATGTTCTACTTAGGAAAAAAAAATTACAGGGGAGAGCTTGGGTCTGCCGTAAAATAAAGATCAAGTACAGATCACAGTATCATTGCAGAGCCTCAGAGCTGAAAAATTATTATTATTTTTCTAAGTTTTAAGCTGAGTGATTATGTTGAACAAACATGAGCTTAAGCAGTCAAGTGAAGTTGAGGCAAAAATAAAAAAGATTTACATTTATTCAATTCTATAATCTGCATCCTGGAATTCAAATGTGGTTAAGTCAGCAAGGATTTTCCCAATCAAGGTTGGCATAATATTATTACTACAATTTGATAGCATCAAGTATGATCCCTAGGTTTAGGAGAAGGTAACATATATTCAAATGACAGTCTGCACATTTTATCTCAATAGTGCAAAAACTTAAAATAATCTTTGAAGAATAACTAAATAACTGCAAATGAATGGAAAAATTTGTCAGGCTACAATGTTGTTTACCACAGATACAGCATATGCTAGATCTGCTCACTAATTTTCTACACAAGGGAAAAGCTAAATTATTAGTTATCAGTTGGAGAACTAGAGAGGATGGCAATGCACAAAATCTGATGATAAAAGAGCTCATCAAAAGAGATGAAAAAGCATGGTGAAACGAACTGTTATCCCAGAAAGAATTTACATGCGGTGGTCCGAACGGATCAGCATTCGTACTGAGTTTGTACAGTCTTTTGATTGTATACACTTCAACATATAATAATACTAAATAATATATTTACTATCCAAAGTGGAATGTCTTAGTGATTCTCTTGGGATGCACTGTCAGAACACAGAGACAGATTGGAAAAGCATAAAAAAAGATGACCCCAAATATTGCAGTACAGTAAAAGGGATTTAATTTGACAGCATTAAATTACAAACTTTGTCATTCAAGAATGAGAAAAAAAATCCAGTATGTTCTAAATGAAACACAATCTGGAAGGCCACCTGTGTGTTCAGTGTGGTCAAAAAAAACTTCTATTAGCCAACAGTGTGATGTGCCAGCCAAAAATTTACATACAAAGCAGTGAAATAAAAATTTCAGACCACAATGAGGAAAAATAAAATAAAATTGAGAAAGGACCTCTAGAATAAAAAGAGGATGCAGAGGTTATCTGGAAAGCTACACAAAAGAACTTTATTTAATATGCCAAAATGGAAAAGTGATTTTGCTTCCTCTAAGGACAAGCAAGGGAGATTAGCATCTCCATTCATCTCAGATTTTTAAGCTGAAGGGCAATGTTGCCCTAAATATCTTTAATACTTTCAAATTTCTAATAATCAAATCTGAGCATAAGTAGGATAAATAACTTCATGCAAAAGCTTAATTATTTTATGCATAGATTATAAGCAATGTTGCCTGTAAGAGTAGAAGACTAACTTTAAGAACACAATTTTTAGTTTTTACAAGATTTTTGTATAGAACATGGACCTCTAAAATCAGACAGAGGAACTATTATTATTTATGATTCATATGAAGAATAGAGAGCTGGTATGTAGCAGATCAGTTTTGTCAACTACTTTAATCTAAGCGTTATCAAACTTGCTGCATATGAGTGTGGCTCCTAACACAACAATAAAGAAGTAAAAAAAAATTAAAAACCCAAAGACCAGATTAGAGTTATTTTTAATCATATCTAGCATCAATATGTTATAACTTACTTCAAAGCTATACAATAGATCAGACAATATAGTTTATGTTTTTTACTTACTCTGTCTTTTTCAAATTCTACCACTTCTGTTTCCCATTCCAGAGAATCTGTGTCTATAGCTGAGTCATGGGAACTATGGGCCATCAATTGACGGAATCTGGCTTCCTTTTCCAACTGATTCTCCATCTTCTCCCTAGGCAAAGAAAATCATTATTTATAGACACAGACAATCCTTTTACATAAACAGATACATAATGTTTTCATCGTGAGATACCTTATATTTTGCTCTCTAAACCAACAATCCAGGCTGTGCCAGAAATTTGCCCCAGGCTTCCATCTTTCTAATATTCTGTGGCTGCTATTGAATTGACTTTCCTTTTCTATATATTGTCCTAACACAGTCTTTTTTTTTTTTGCATTATTTTTACATTATTGAAGAGCACAAGTAGGTTTCTAACAATTCCCAAAATGCATTTACTTTACCCTCAGAATCCAATATTGCTTAAGTGCATTCTCCACAGTACAAAGCTTACAACACGTGTTTCATTAATAAGACAAAAAGGTTAAAATAGTGAGACTTAAAATCTGGCCCATCAAAATAATTTCCATGATAACTAAAAATACAGGTAGCGTTTCCACATACAGTATCATGAATGCCTGCTGCCTCACAGCTATAGTGACATATGATTCACTTGAGAACACAGCTAACAACACCTAATGAAGCTAACAAAGTTTCTATCACAAAATGCCATACAGTTTTAGCATTACTCTAACATACTTCAGTTCTTTCAGTTCACGCACAGCGTCATTTTTCTGCTTTCTCATGTCATCCAGATTGC